TATTGTCGACCGACGGGATCAAATTCTTCGTAATAAGGTTATTCCTTTGGTCCGTGTTCAGTGGAGTCATCACAATGAGGCTGAGTCCACTTGGGAACGGGAGGATGTCATTCGTTCGCAGTTTCCTGAAATATTGGAAGAAGGTAAAAGCGAATTCCGAGGACGGAATTCCTTTTGTTAGGAGGGAAGAATGTAATACCCCTAATTTTAAAAGGATATTTCTAGTATTCTGGTATTTAATTTTTTTTTATTTAATTGTCATTTTATTTGGTTAGTTGGTTACTTGTTTATGGTGTTGATTAAATGGTATATGTTTTGTTTGAATTGTTAATTATTTATTTGTTAATTCTTTGCTTAATTGTTAATTATTTATTTATTAATTCTTTGCTTAATTGTTAATTATTTATTTGTTTTAATTATTTGATTAATTGTTAATTATTAATTATTTGTTAAGGGTTGTTTTATTTATTTATTTATCAAATTCATTGTTATTATTTTTCTTGTACTTATAAACTCACGTAAGTTCATATAGCCGTCACTGTTTTAAACCTATGTTGTTCAATGGGCCGAGTGCATTGTATTAGGGTTTAATTGAGCCTAGGGTTAGAGTGGTTTATAAATACTCATCTAAGGGGTCTGTCTAGGGTTTTAGAATACCTTTACGACACAGTAAGGTTGTGAGAAGTTTTGGAGACGGCTGGGAGGAAACAGAGAGATAAATTAAGGCAAGTTCTAACCTCATCTCTTTCCCTTTTACTCATGTTCTTTGCATGCCTAAGTAGTTCTAGGAAAACATTAAACAGAATTAATTGATTGAATTAATTAACTATGCATGTTCAGAACTCATTATATCTGTATGTATTGAAACTTGATGTAAACTGTTGTTTGGTGTCCAACTGTGTAATTGTTCTTTTAAATTACAATTAATCAATGCATGAAGGAGGTAGATGGGTTTTCTCTGGGTAGGTTTGATCACAAATAAAAGTGTTAAAAGCTGTATTAGAGAGGGACGAAGGTAGTGTAGTCAAACGTAGACGACACAAGCATATAGAGGAGAGGGGGAAAGAGGAGAAGGCTCCATGGAACCATGAAGCCGGTTCTACATAGTTAGGAGCCGGCTCTACCATGGTTGGAGCCGGCTCTAGCATAGGTGGAGGCGACTCCACCTTGTGGGAACTTGCTCTCCTTGTGTTTTTCCAGTTTTTTTTTATTTTTTATTTTATTTTCTGCGAGGTTTGGACTTGTTTTGACATAGATGTGTTTAAGGGCTGTGAATGGGAATTGGGGTTGATGTCTGAGTTTAACTTAGGTCTTCAGAGGGCTTGTTAAAATATATTCAACCAATCAGTATTGTTGTTTAGAACAATATAAAAATTATAAGCAAACTAGTGAACTGTTTTGGAGACTTAGGATCTAAACTGCACAAACTGAGATGTAACAGTTTATTTGGGAATGGAGTTATGTTCTGTTCGTGTTCTATGATGGACTATAAGCATGTAGGACTATTGAATTAATTACATGCCTGTAATGGATGGAAGGGGTGCACTTATATTAACTGTGTTGTTCACTCCTGAACAACGGTGGAGTAGTATAGGATAAGTATGTAAGTTTGTAAAACAAAACTGTCATGTTTACTTGGATTTATTTATAGGTTATATATGTATGGTCTGTATTAACAATCATGGAACTGGGTGGAGTAGTGATAAATAAGCTTGTTAAATAACAAAGGTTTAGTATGCATAATGTGAAACAGTTGATGTTTACAATTGAATGATTGACTGTTGATTGCTCGATATACTATAGAGTTGATAATTACATTTATTATTTGTATGGTCAACTGTGGATGTTGGATTATTGCTGGATAGATTATATAGTTGATAATTGCATTTATTACCTGTGTTGTCAACTGTGGATGATTGGATTACATGCATCGGTATGGGACGGTGGCATGCCTAGGTTTGGATTAGTTCCAAAATATTAAATCCTACCTACACGGAATAAGGGAATGAATATTAAAATAAATCCTACTTATAGTTGAGTTAAAGAAGCTGCATAAGCTGAACGACTACTCGGATTTCTCGTAAGTTATGTTATGTCAAAGAAGCTGCATAAGCTGAATGACTAACTGGACTTTGTATGGATGGGACGGACTTTAAATATATATATTATGGTACTGTGATCTGAGCTTGAGTCTCAGAGTCGTCGGTTAGAGAGCGTATATGCAATAGGATGCGTAGCTGGATATGAGAGGTTGAGGTATACCCTATTAGGTCTAGGTACTCATGCCCACCTTTGGGTGCATTTTCGCATGTTGCCTTTTATTCAGGTTGAGACCCCCTCCATAGTCCTGTGCGAGTCCTGTAGTGTGAATATACTTATGTAAGGACTATTAGCTATTGTTAAACTGTTTAGGATATATATGCGTGTCGAGCATCTGCTTGGATTGTAGAAGGTTATAACTTGTTCGTGGGCCTGACCCACTTTTATTTTTCAGGTACACGACAGTTCCGGACTTAGACGTGTTCGTGCTGAGCAAAGGTTTCTATTCACTCTTCCGACGATGTATGATTTTCTCCATAGTTTATTTCTGGATTTTTATTTCAGTTGTTTTATTTTAGTCCGGATGTTTATTAGGGGTCCGCCATAGATGGATTCCCGAGTTGTAAACTGATGGAGTTTTGGAGTTTGGATTGAATGGATTTCAATAATTATATTTTGAGGATTTTATTTTAGTTTCTTTTAGCTTAAATTTCATTTCTTAATTCGATTTATATTCTGGGTTCATTATAAAATATTAATTGTTTGATATTCCCTCGGGTTTGGGCCCGGGCCTTATCAACCAGTGTCTCGGATCCGAGGGGTATCACAAACTCATCTTTGCCGACGACCACCGGCAAACTCATATTTTCTGGTTAGACAAACCCAAGAAAAGGCTACAAATTTAGTCGCAAAAGCCCAAAAAAATGTGTTTTCGTAGATCATTAAACCAACCCAATAGCAACTGTCCCCAAAATATGTGCTATTCTTTTTATCAATTCCCCTCTAAACACCAACCTCAGTGTTAGGAAACTAATACTAATTAGGCAGTCTTATTTTATAATTAGTATTTAATTAGGGTATCGAATTGAATAAAAACTAAGAACTTTTGTGGCTAATCCCCCAATTCAAAGGATTATTGGTGGTTGATCTCTAATCAACGGATCATTTTAGGGTCTAGAATCCCAACATCTTGTATCAGAGCATTCGATCTGAGACCCCTCAATTTTAATTATTTTCTTTCTTCTCTATTATCTTTACTTCTATTAGTGTTCTCAATATGACTGTCAAGGAACTCGGAGAAAAAGTTGTCGTTCTTACTACTAGTGACACTTTCGCTATTAGGGTGGATGCTCTTGCTACTAGGGTGGACGTGTTGTCTTCTAATTTTGAAGAGTTCATGCATGATAGACAAACCACCACTGCCATTCTTCAACAAATCCAAGAGATGTTGCAGAATAGGCAAGAGCCTCAACCTATTATTGATCATTTTCAACGTAACGATCGTGTTCTCCAAAACGATGTCAACCTTAATCCACCTATACATTGCGATAACAATATTGATTAGTGGGTTGGTCTGATTATTCAAGGTCAGACTCCCTGGATCAAATTTCCAAAATTTGATGGTGTTGATCCTGAAGAGTGGTTGTTTCAAGCTGAACAATATCAGCAACTCAATGGTATTTTAGATGAGCAGATGGTTCCATTAGATGCAGTGCATCTTGAAGGATATGTTATTTCTTGGTATCGTTGGATTAAACAATCCTTTGGTATTTTTAATTGGCAACAATTTTCTTGTGCAATATGTACACGTTTTGGGCCTCGACAACGTATTGACCATTGTGGTTCGCTAGCCAAACTCTCTCAAATGGGCACTGTTCGTGAATTTATTACTGAGTTTGAGCGACTTGCTAATATGGTTCCGGTTTGCATGAGTCGCATCAAGTTAGTTTTTTCCTCTATGGACTTTGTGTTAATATAACAGCTGGTGTTCGTTTGTTTCGTCCGATGAGTTTAACCGAGACATTTGAATTGGCACTCTGTCAGGAAGATGCAATTAGTGCAACCACAACTCATAATGTGCCAGAGTATGTTTGTCAGACATTATTTCGTGATGCCGGCTAGATTTTTCGGCTTGAGGACAAGCCGATGATTCGAGAGGGGTGGAATGTTAGGAAACTAATATCAATTAAGCAGTTTTCTTTTCTAATTAGTATTTAATTATTGTAGGTATTATATTATTTCCTTTTATATTTTGTTAATTCATCTATATAAGAATGTTATTGTAATAGAATTAGGGTGTTGAATTGAATAAAAACTAAGAACTTTGGTGGCTAATCCCTAATTTAAAGGATTATTGGTTACCGATCTCCAATAAATAGGTCATTTTAGGGTCTAGAACCCTAACACCCAGAAACTGAAAACAATTATTTGTCGAATGATTTTCGACCTTTTTGTCATTCTTATCATCATCGGAGTTGGAGGTCAAAAAGAAATAAAAGAGAGGTGGATTGGAGAGAGAGGGGTGGTGGAAACCATGGATGGTGCAGGTGGTTGTGAGGGAAGAAGAATAATTGTTGGGGAGAGAGAGCGATGGCGGTGGCGCCATGGATCGATGGTGGAGGTGGTGGCCATGGATGAAGGGTGAAGGTGGTTGGAAAGAGAGAGAGAGGGGGGAAGGTAGACGTAGGACGTATATCTGTGTATATATATGTGTGTGTATAAATGAAAGAGAGGGACCTATTGTTTTATAAGTGTATTTCTATACAATTTTATTTAATGGTCATAAGGTTATTTTTGTCTTTCTAATTTTTTTTTTCCTAATCACTGTCACGTGACTTGCATAGATGTATATTATTTTGGTCGACTAACGTTTTGCAACAAATGGAATAGTCTAGGGGTTAAATGTCTTTTTTTTTTTTATTATAGTTTAGGGGTTTTTTTTTTTTGGGAGAGAGAAGAAAGCTCACGGGTTTAATACAATTAACCTAATAAATACTCCGTATTTCATTTTCGTCGTTAGGCAGGAGATTGATGCTCCTTCCCTTTGGTAGCTGCAGACGGAAGAAAGAGGACTCTTTGCTTTTGCCGATCGAGATCGTTTTTCGAGATATAGTAAAACCCTGTTTGGGAGACCCATTTCAATTTGTCTGATAATTTGAATGAAAGTAGGGGTTTTGAGCTTCCTGGGTGGTTTAGTTTCAGCAAGATCAATATCAATGGAGGTTGTCAAAATATTAGTCCTAGTATTGACAATAATTTTGAGTAGTATTCTCTTTGTGGAAGTGGAATCCAAGTACATCGCATACAACACTTCACAGGGGATCGTCCCTGACAAAATCAACGTCCATCTGGTCCCTCACTCTCACGATGATGTTGGATGGTTGAAGACTGTTGATCAGTACTATGTTGGGGCCAATAATTCTATTCGGGTACGTCTAGCTCATTATCTATCTAGTATATCATCTCTCTCTTTCTATACACATGCACACATGTATATAGAACCTAACCTAGCAGAGTATTGTTTGTTTTCTTGAATAGGGAGCGTGTGTTCAGAATGTCTTGGATTCTGTAATTTCAGCGTTGCTGGATGATAAGAATCGGAAGTTCATTTATGTTGAAGTGGCAAGATTTTTCTATCCTTATTATCATATATATATATATATATATATATTTGTGTGTTTGTGTATATTTATTATATATATCTTTAGTGTTATCTTCTCCGAGTGTATCTGAGAAGACCAGTGGTTGGTTCTGTTTGAATTTTTTTTAGGCATTCTTCCAGCGATGGTGGAGACAGCAAAGTGAGGCACTTCAAACTAAAGTCAAGGAGCTCGTCAATTCTGGTCAACTTGAATTCATGTAGAACTATTGCATTCTCTTTATTCATTATCAATTTTTTGGTAAAAATTTGTATTTCTGTGAGTGATATATATATATATATATATATATATATATTCTTTGTAGAAATGGGGGTATGTGTATGCATGATGAGGCAACCCCACATTACATCGATCTGATTGACCAGACAACTATGGGACATCAATTTATCAAAGATGAATTCGGTCAGAAACCTAGAGTTGGTTGGCAGATCGATCCTTTTGGACATTCTGCTGTTCAAGCTTACTTGCTTGGTGCAGAGGTATGCCTTGTGAAGTCTGTATATCCTACTTGGTCATTCTTATTTTCCTTTTCCCTATTGGATTATTTTGCGTGCCTTCGTGTGAAAAGGTCGTTACCCAGGGGTAGGCTAGGTACAGGCCTGGATTTTGGCAATATCTGCACAAGGTGGCTGTCCTACCATTTTCACTAACTATCACAAGCTTTTACCATTGCACTGAATATTGCATGTGACAATTCAATTACTTTTGAATTAAGGGCGTCCGCTATAAAATTAGAAGATTGAGAGTTGATAGTCTTTCTATATATCCCATACATTGCATTAGCATTTTACCTTTTGCGGTATCTGAGCTTTAGATTCCATTTGAATTTTTACTTTCTTGCAGCTGGGATTCGACTCTCTCTTTTTTGCCCGGATTGATTACCAAGACAGAGCTAAGAGAAAAGATGAGAAAACTCTTGAGGTTGTGTGGCAAGGTTCTAAATCCCTTCGTTCATCTTCACAGGTTTGGGAATTAAAAACTCGTTTGAATCTCTTTTGAAATTTAAATTTTTGGGCTTGAGAATTTAGTTGTTGCTGTTGTTTCCTCATAACCTCCTCTTTATGATCATGAAATCAATAATGAGGCCAACATGGGATTCGGGAGGCACCCCTTGAAGTAAAAAAAAGAATTTGCATTCCCCTTCTTCAATCAATCCCTATTTTTTCCCCTTCAAAATTCTCACTTTTTTTTTTTTTTTTTTTTTTTTTTCTATTTTCCTCTTCTTTTTCAAATTTATTGATGCAATTTTTGAACTTAATGGTATTTAATGTTTCTGAAATTTCCTTTACTGCTATTGTTTGCAAATTGTGACATGCTGTTTGAATCTTGATTACTGCACTGTACTGCAATTCTATGTTATTTGGTAGAATTTTTATTTATTTATTTTTATCATGTTCAATGTGCCCCCACCGAAATAAATTCCTGGCTTTGTCACTGTATAAAATCTCAATAGATTTTTCATGCTTTAGCTACAATATGTGTAGTACCTGCAACAATCTTCTGATGCTCTCTAGAATGAAATCTAACTGTGCAGATATTTACTAGTATATTCCCCAGGCATTATGATCCTCCTGATGGTTTTACATTTGAAATAAATGATGTATCACCTCCTATTCAGGTAAATTCCTTAAAGATGGGCGTGTTTATTCCATGCCAGAACCTCTATTCACAATTCTCTTTTTTGAAGGATAATCCTCTCCTATTTGACTATAATGTTCAAGAGCGAGTCAATGACTTCGTAGCTGCCGCTGTAGCACAGGTAATATATGGGAAATAGTGTGTCCTGACTTTTCATGTTTCATTTACTCTTTTTATACTTTGTTTTCTTGTGCCTGTCACTTTTAACTATACACAACCAATTTTAAAAGAAAGCTTTGACCAGAAAGTATTAAGATGCTGTTAAAATAATTCCAAATCCCATTCTTTGAAGTTTTTGAAATCAAGTGTTTAAGAGAGTAATGCAGATTGGTGTGAGTGATCATATTTGTAAGAACTTCTGCTTTTCAATTATAGTTACGTACTTGTTTGGTTATGCCATTTCAAGTTTCAGGCAGGGAATCATCTTGACTTACCACAATACATAATGAAGAATTTAATTTTTCTGCCTTAAAATTTTCTAATCTTATGCAGTGTAACACACATTCTGCATTCTTTTTTAGGCTAACGTAACCAGGACAAACCATATAATGTGGACCATGGGGACAGACTTCCGATATCAATACGCAAATTCATGGTTCAGGCAAATGGACAAGTTTATTCATTATGTCAACATGGTATTCATTCTCTATAAGCCTTCCTGAATATGATTGAATTAAAAGACAGATATAAGTATTCCATTTTAGTGCTAAATGTTTCCATGCCCTAGTTTCTTTTTATTCTTTATTTTTGGACTCTAGTTTTGTATAAACTAAATCATCTTGGTTTCGATTACTCTCAGGATGGGCGTGTCAATGCTCTATATTCAACCCCATCCATTTACACTGATGCAAAATATGCAACAAATGAATTGTGGCCAGTCAAAGCTGGTGATTTCTTCCCGTGAGTGTTGTGCAAATATTATTTTTGCAGTGAACTAATCCCCTATGATTGTTATTTTTTTTTTTTGGTCCTGGCAATTAACTCCCCCAATGCACTTGGGGAGACTCGAACCCTCTAACTTCCAGATTGAAAGGAGAGGAAATACCACTAGGCCACAGGCCTTGGTCCCCTACTTATGCCCAATTCTCAGTTTTGCTCAAGGAATTCAATACTGTTTTTCAGGTATGCTGATCGTGAAAATGCATACTGGACGGGTTACTTTACTAGTAGGCCAGCCTTTAAAGGTTATGTCAGGATGATGAGTGCTTACTATCTGGTAAGATTTTGTGGCATCTTGTATTTTGGCCACACACATATATATTTTTCAGAAAGTGTGTTCTTAAAGTGTTGTCTTGTTGGACTGTCAGAACTTTTATGAATAATATTACTTACTTTGTTTCAGGCGGCAAGGCAATTGGAATTCCTTAAAGGTAGGAGAAGCTCGGGGCCAAACACAGATGTTTTGGCTGATGCATTGGCAATTGTTCAACATCATGACGCAGTTAGTGGTACGGAAAGACAGCATGTCGCTGCTGATTATGCAAAGCGACTTTCAATGGGCTATGCACAGGTGTAGATCAGTTTGATATTTTAGGGTACTTTAATATTAGGGAAGGCCAACTTGTGCTCCAACTTTTGTTGTACCAGCACCACCCTGTTATTATACCATATGGATTATTACAGAAAATTGCAGTAGAATTGGTGCTTCTGTTTCTATTTTTTCTGGCATTTGTGTGTTTTAAGCCTAATGTTCTAACATTTTTTAAGTAATATCTTCAGGCTGAGAAGGTGGTAGCGTCATCACTGGCTTTTTTAGCAGAGTCAAGATTAAGTATCAGACGTGAGAATTCAGTCACCAAGTTTCAGCAGGCAATATATAGTAACTAGCATATAGACTAAATTATATTTTATTAGAGTGTTGAGTATTTCACATTCTCATCATGTCTCGATGTGTCTATTTGATTATTTTCTGTTATACATGTGTGTGTTTTGTCACTTGAGCCATTAAAGCGGGCAATCTTTAAACATATAAACCTTAGGAGTTCCATATTGGAGTAAAAAATCTTGCTGAATCCTGATTTGTTAATCTTCTTTTGTCAGTGTCCTCTTCTTAATATAAGCTACTGTCCTCCTTCAGAAGCCGTTTTGTCTAATGGGAAAAGCTTGGTAAGAATAATAATTCATCTCATAATGACTATGATTATGATTATGATTATGATTATGATTATTATTACTATTGTATATTTGTTGCCTTGAAGGTTATAGCTGACATTTTTTTGGAATCCAAATTATATATTCTCTTTTGTAGGTTGTTGTTGTTTACAATCCTTTAGGATGGAAGAGGGAGGAAGTAATTCGAATTCCTGTGAGCACTCGTTCTTTGTGCTATTTAGTCTTCTAAGCGAATCTCATATCTAATTTCATAGAAGTTATGTGATTTATTGACATGTTATTTCTGTAGTAAATGCATTCACCATTTTCAGTATAAAACTTTCCAGCATGGATGAATTCATTTACATAATTTATAGATATTTTTTCCCCCTTTTCAAATCTTAAATAAGCAATGCATATGATTATATGCTTGTTTTTGAGGGACAAAATTGAATCACCACTGGCGTGCTGATTTCAAAGTTGAGACTTGGAAGTTTGTGAATGCACTGATTTCATGGCAACGTTGTAAAGATAAAAATATACAATATCTTCAAAACAATTGAAAATGTTCTGTTTTGATTTTTCCCTGACGTGCAAGAATACAAAAAAAGCTGTATTATCTTTTTTTCTTAGTACTCACACACACATGCCTCCACTGAGGCTCGAACCCCTAACCTCCCTTTGGGAAGTAGGGGCCTGGTACCGCTAGGCCACTAGCCTGTTGGTAAAAGTTGTATTATCAGTCACTGACTTAGACTCATTCATGGTGTGTCTGATACAAGGATAAAAATAATCTGAAGTAACCATTAAAAATTTTCAAATAACAAGAATTACAAATATTTGCACAAAATAAACTAAATGCTATTGCTTAAAGTATAATATTGTTTGAAAGATAGCCTTTCTACAATGTTACATAATAGTTGGATGATATCTGTTTATAATAAAATCCCAATATACATAGGTTATGCAAAGCAAATTAAATAGATAAAAGTTACTCATCATCATCACCATCATCATTATCTTCTCCAAACTTTCCTCAGCATCATTTGCATCATTATTTTTACCCCATCCTCATTCTCATCTCCACTTGCCTCATCACTATCTAATTCTCTTCTACTTGAGCATCCTAATTCTCCTCTTTCTCGTGATGCTTCTCCTCTATGTCATCCCATTCTTCTTTTTTGCAGAGCATTTGGTTGTGTAAGTAAGAACTCTTGACTTATTGGATTTGTGTCTAAAAATTTCTTGGGGATTGTAATCATGCAGCATAAAATTTTGCCCCTTTTCCCCCAATAAATGTTGTAATTTGAAGTAGAAATTAGAAATAATCCAAAAATTCTACATTTTTCGGAAAGATGGCAGATCCAAGTGTGGAACTTGGTTCCAAATTTTTATTATTTAGACATATTATTGATCTACAATTATTAACTGAAAATTAAATAACTTTTTTTTTTTTTATTTTCTTTTATAAAAAGCACTGGAATTTCAATAGTGAAAAAAGAACCATATAGATGTACAAGCGTTCACCTTGATCTAACTTCTAACATCTGTCATGGTATCACGAACATCTAATATGGTTCATTGTTCTGACATAATTTTTCAAAAAATCCATGTCATATGCATAATGAAACTGACAGCACTTTAAACGAAGGCATACTGTTGTGACAGAAGAAGGTTTTGGAAATCCAACCTAAAAGAATTGAAGAAGGATTTAATTGAATGTCTTGATGTAGGGAAGTGAATGAAAGCTTTTGTCTCAGTCGTGTTGAGGAGAAGTGTGCAAATGCGGAGGGAGGACAAGGAGGGAGAGGATAAGGGATGAGAAAAGTGGACGGTGGCCTGTTTGGCCAGCCAAAACATTATCCCAGTTTGACGTGGAATTGCCTTGTGGCAATTTATATTGCAAGTCACAACTGATCTGATGAGACAAGCAGACATTTAGCAAGTCATATATTTTCGGGTTTCAGGGTTGGCTGCTCCTGTCATGAACTTCAATTGGAACATGGAAGTTTTAAAGTAACAATTGAAGATTAACTTCTTTGAAGCAAATGTAGAGGTAATAGTGCTCAACTCAGACTTTATTCTTTATCAACAAGGAACAAAGATATAGTTGGAGGTCTCATTGCTTCTTTTGTGCAGAACACATATGTCTGGATAAGAGTTATGCTATTCCTTTTTGAGTATAAAGGTTCTCATTCTTATTAGCTTCTTTGGTGGGGACCTTGTTTCTTCAATGAATTGAGATTAGCCACTTAGAGAATGACAGTTAGTTTAGATCTTGATAGGAAGCATAGAACGATTTATAGAATAGGAGCTTTTTGGATTTTAGATACAAGGGCAGACATCTCTTATCCTAACTAGAAGAGGAAATGTAGACATCTTTAAGAAATAAAAGGTTGGAGCACCCTGAAGTTTTATGATCATTAAGATTTTCAAAGAAATGCCATTAGTCTTATATTTGGCCTCTTTGGCATCCATTGGGTTATGCCTCGGTCTTCAAGGGAGTTGATTGACATTTGGAGGGGCCAGAGGGTGGGGGCCCATTCTTGTGACTGTTGGAGGGTGACCCCCCTTTGTGTTTGGTGGAGCATTTGGAAAGAGTGAAATAAAAAATCTTTTGATGAGGAGGAAACCTCCATTGGGGCGCTGAAATTTTCTATTATTAGTTCTCTTTTTAGTTGGGTGAAGGGGAGAAATTGTATATCTTTAGATGAGACTCTGGACTTTTTGGGTTCTTTGGGACTTTTTCTCTTGGGATGCGTTCCCATTTTGAACGCTTTCTAATACATTTTATTTATCAAAAAAAAAAAAAAAGATTTTCAAAGAAATGAAATCCCAGCATCTGAAAGATTTGATGGAACTTCAAAGTCAGACAGGGGACCCCATAAAGGAAAGTCAGACAGGGGACCCCATAAAGGGAGTTGGTTCTAAAATGAATAAGGAAAAGAATCTTTGCAAATGTGTGCGCTCTTAAAACCAAATTTACGAGCTTTTTGTAACAATGAGTCTGGTGTGACAAGAGACCAATTTGCAGCAATTTTAAGGCACAACCTATAATTTGCAATGCTGAGATTGGTACTGGTTTAATTTTCTTTAGGCATAACAATTGGTTGACAAGTTTTTAAACTAAGTTTAAGTACATTTCGTTACCCGAAACTCTTTTATTTAAGATGCGTATACTTAGAAATGCCCTAGTGATAAGAAGCGGAGCCTTTTGCCTTAGACCATGGAGTTATAACATAAATAGAACAGAAACTGCCTTTCTGACTGCATTTATAGGAATTTGATGTTCACGTCAGTGTTTTCTTATAGCTTTTGTGTTTTGTTCTTGTATTATAACTGTATCACTGGTTCTACTATTCTTTATCATCTTAAAGTAGGCTTCACTCAATCTTTTTTATTTTTTCCCATGTAATGATAATCATTTACATGCATGCCGACTCACTTCATTCTTGTGATTTATTCTAGGTCCAATGATCTTTCAAATTGGTCAAGACTGTCTAGTTGTTGCTACATTGAATTTGCTAATTAGTGATATATGTGCTGGTCTAACATCCTTTTAACCCTCATAATCCCAATTGCTACTGGTCATATAGAGTGACTTGTTAAGAGGCCGTGATTTGGATAAATAAAAATCGTGTACAAAGTCCAAACATCAGACCCTACCTACCAAGGCTTTCTTTTGTTGGTGAGTTGATTTGCATAATTAATTGAGAATCAAAACTTGCTACAGGTTTCCACTGAGGGGATAGTTGTTCTGGATTCTGGTGGTAGAGTAATTGAATCTCAGCTTCTTCCTCTCTCAAATGCTTCTTTGAGCATCAGAAACTACCATGTCAAAGCATATCTGGGTAGTTACCCCGGTGACAAGCTCAAATATTGGCTTGCATTCTCAGCATCTGTACCACCTCTTGGATTCACTACTTACATTGTCTCAAGTGCAAAACGGACAGGTTAACCATAAGCTCAAGTGTCTAATGCCTTGTTTCCATAAAGCTAAACAAACAGTAAATTATATCTCCATGTTACTAATACAAAACAAAATATTATCTTCTTCTTTTTTTTTTTTTAATTATTATTATTTTATTCTTTATAATTAGGTACTGGTTCAACTATATCAGCAGTATATAGTTCAGAAGCAAATAAGGATACTACCGTGGAAGTTGGCCAAGGAAATCTAAAACTAATTTACAGTAACGATGAGGGAAGGCTTATTCATTACATAAATAGCAGAAATTTGGTATGTTGTGTTTGTGATGATTTAATTCCATTGTATGCCATCATATTTGCTTCTTGTGTTTCCTTCTCTGTGGAATTTAATTTTCTTTCTGATAATTATAACAAGAATAAGCTTATCCGTTGATTATCTTTTGTTAACGGAAAACTTTGATTTGTTTATGTTTTTTTTTTTTTTTTTTCTCTCTCTCTCTCTCTCTCTCTCTAAAGATGTTCTTTTATCCAATGTTGGAATCAATAATTACAACTTTCTAAATATTACTCCCTCTATCCCATATTTAATGTCCCTTTTGGGGAGTAGAAGTTTTAAAGAGGACATGTAATTATTACATTGGCTCCTTTGAAAATTTCTAAGTTACCCTTTGAAGTTTGAAAATATATATCAAGTTTGAAATTTTTTAAAACTTCAAGGGTATTTTATGGAAAGATGTGAATTATGTTGTTTGAACCTTTTTAAGTGGACAAGTATTTTGGGACAACCCAAAAGGAAAGATAGACAACTAAATTGGGACGGAGGGAGTATATGATAGCTAGTGACAGAAACAATATAGGCATTGAAAAATATCGAATGCCAGAACTTGAAATTGTAACTTTCTAAATATTGTATGATAGCTAGTGATGGAAACTGTATAGGTATGAAAAGATACACAATTTCATCAAATAAAGGGGGATATATTGGCATGGCATTGTTAGGGTGCGTAATTTTTCTATTTTTGTTTATTACTGAAGGTTACAGCTTCTGCAGAGCAATCATACAGTTACTATTCTGGATATAATGGAACTGATAAAGATCCTCAGGTATTTTATCTTCCTTGGCCTAATAAAATGCACATTATTGCATTGTTCTGTTTGCTATTGGTAATCATTGTGATGTTTTTGCTAATTGTTGAAGGCCTCTGGGGCATATGTCTTCCGTCCAAATGGTACATTCCCCATAAAATCTGAAGGCCAGGTAATCATTCTGTGCCATGTGCTTGACCTACATATTGTGATGATAAATGGAGCACTGTCACTATAAGTTAATTACTTGTTACAATATGTTTCTGACAGAAAATGGAGTTGATTCTTTGTTCCAGGTTTCCTTAACTGTTATGCAGGGTCCAGTAATGGATGAAGTACATCAGCATATCAATTCGTGGATATATCAGGTAGTTTACTTCTCAGTTGATATATAATTCTCTTTCGTGGAGTTGTGCTATTCCTTATTATCCAGACATGCATGGTACTTCTTGGTGGAATTTATTCATAGGAAGGTGCTTTTGGAGAAAACATTGATATTAAATGGTTGAAATCGATCTTCTGGAATCATGTCAAGTTCAATCTTACTAAAATGTGTAGATGATAAACCATCTGCTGTACTGGAAATTGTTTTTTGTGCTTCATACTTTCCATAACACAACAGCATGCATGCAGATCACCAGGGTATACAAGGGAAAGGAACATGCTGAAGTTGAGTTTAATGTAAATTTCTCCCTTCATATTGATTATTATAGCAAATGTTATGATTTTTAAAGGTGGGAGCTTGATTTGCTGACTTCATGTGTTTAATTTTAGATTGGACCTATACCTGTGGACGACAGAGTGGGGAAGGAAATAACAACTCAGATCACAACAGTCATGAAGACCAACAAAACATTCTATACGGATTCTAATGGACGGGACTTCATTAAAAGGGTATGTCTATGCTTGATACATTTCATTTTCACAATTAACTTAGAAATGAGCAGGGACTTTTGAATATTTATCTTCTATGTCGCCATATTACAGGCAATATGTCTCAATTTCTTCTCTTTATATATATGTGTGTGTCTCTGTGTCTGTGTATGTATTAATGCAGATACATACTTGACCAACATTTTACTTGCAGATACTAACTAATGTTCCTGGGTGGTTGAATTTTAAGGTACTGATCTGTTTTGCCATTACAGTTTGATTGAAAATGTTGTTTGCAGATTCGGGATTACAGAGCAGACTGGGATCTGCAGGTGAATCAACCAGTTGCTGGAAATTATTACCCTGTATGTCTTTGTAGATGAAATACCGCAAATCTATGTCCTACTTGCTTTTTCCACCCTCATTCCTCAGAATTGCCTTGATAAGTTTCTGGATTATATTTGGTCTCCATATTATTAGTTGGGAACAGATGCCATTACAAAAATGAATTTCTTGCTATTATTTTATATCTACTGTTTCGGTCTTAGCAACTTTAAATAGAAGACTCTCTTTAACCAAAAAGAAAGAGAACTAATGTTTTGGTTCAGATCTTCTGTTAATTGGTAGACCTTGCCACTTGGTGATAACTTCTTGATAGCATATGCTTCTTGCAGATTATGTGTTTGAAACCCGTTTGATTTGTATTCATTTATGCAGAAATAAATGAATAATTTGATAGTTACTTTACTTAAAATTCCATTTATATTTTTTTCCTTTCTGCTTTCAGATTAATCTTGGAATCTATGTGGAGGATGAAAGCATGGAACTCTCAGTTTTGGTGGATCGTTCAGTTGGTGGATCCAGTTTGGTGGATGGTCAAGTAGAGCTGATGCTCCATAGGTTTGTTTTTACCTATCATTTCTTAGTTCTTTTGTTAGTTTATATGTTCAGTTCTATTTTGATTATTGAAATAATACTAATTAGGATGCATTACATTGCCAGTGTCACTAATATATTTCTCTTTTATTAAATAGGAGGCTGCTTCGTGATGACTCTAGAGGCGTTGGTGAGGCACTAAATGAAGAAGTTTGTGTCCTTGATGAGTGCAAAGGTTTAACGGTAAGCATATCTCCAAATCATTTCAAAGTTTATATGTGATAGAAATCATCAGTTTATTTTGAAGATGGCATATACTGTTTAGCTAGGAACCTAATATGCCCAAAGCTTTCCAGCGGTGGTGGTGGTTCAAAGCATTTACTTCCAGGCTGCTACTTTTGTACCAAATAGTTAATACTGTGAATTTATTAAGCCATTAGACTCTTTTCTGATTCTTCTGAATAACAGACACATCTGTTTTTCTTTTCTGATGGAGCTCCCTTGGTTGCTTGGACACCGCATAATGATTACCGTACAATTTCCTTTTAACAATTATGTTGGGCTTGCATGAAACTACAAATTTTCTCTAGGATACCTGTTGTCTAAGCCAAGTTGATTTCAGCACTGGTGCCCAGGCTCTAACAGAGACACATTTGGCTTGAAAAAGGGATGTAGGAAAGACGGGGATGGAAGAGATGTCTTACATTTTAATTCCAAAGAACCAAATCCCCCTCCACCCTCTCCATCTTGTGTTTGCTTATGTTATCCTTAATCTCTAAAATCAACTATCTCTTATTGAAAAAGTATTGACCTTCCTCAAATAAAATGAAGTTCCATCCGGAACCTCTTAAAAGCAAAAGTATAATGACATTGTTAATTTCCCACTTCTAGTATCAATTTTTTTTTTTTTTTGATAAGTAATAATTGAAATAAAAAGGTGTTCAAGAGGGGAACGCATCCCTTATACAAAAGTGGAACTAGGGATTAAGACCCCAAAGAAGCCAAAAAAATAATTAAATCTTCGGAAGAAGAACAAGACTTCCTCTTCACGTAACTGAAAAGAGAGCGTATGATATGAAGTTTCAGAATCGCCGTGGACGATTCTTTTCCTTCGAACATTCTACTATTCTTCTCATTCCAAATGCACCACTAGATACAATGTGGTACAACTCTCCAATAATTGCGAACATAGCTACTCACACGGCTTCCTCTCCAAATGCGAATCAAATCCTTAGGATAACGAGGCATAACCCAACGCATACCAAACAGACAAAAGATAAGATTCCAACAATCCTTCGCCATAGGACAATGCATGAGAATGTGAGCAACTGACTCACCATCTTGTTTGCAAAGGCAACACCAGTTAACAAGACAATTGCCCCTTTTCCTTAGATTATCAATCGTAAGGATCTTACCCCATACAGCGGTCCAAACAAAGAATGCCACCCTAGTTGGAGCCATAAAATGCCAAATAGTTTTCCATGGAAAATCAACGATATTGAAATCAGAAAGACATAAGAATAAGGATCGAACTTCGAAGCGACCATGGGAAGAGGGAATCCATGTCATGTCATCACTACCTCTGCCAATTGCCTCCTATCGATACAACAAATTGCCTCCTGTCGATACAACAAATCCAGGAAAACACTTACCTCGTCCACCTCCCAATCCTGAAGAGAGCGCCGAAAGTGCATGTCCCACGCAATCCCTCTGCTATCAAGTCGATAACAGTTGGCTACGTAGGCATGTCTATCAACTACAATACTGTATAACCTGGGAAATAAAAAAGATAAAGGCCGGTCTCCACACCGAATATCCTCCCAAAAGCGTACACATCTGCCATCACGAACTTTGAATCTGATATGAGTAGAAAAAGCGTCCCATCCCTTCCTAATGAATTTCCACGCCCCAACTCCTCCCACGAGAGAAACCGGACGAGTAGACCAACCACCACTCTCTTCCCCGTATCGGCATGAAACAAGCCTTCGCCAAGGGCGATGTCTTTCCCTTCCGTACCTCCACAGCCATTTTCCCAGAAGAGCTTGGTTAAAGGGGACCAGTCTTCTAATACCAAGACCACCAAACTTCATTGGCTTGCAGACTTGTTCCCAATTGACGAGGTGATACTTAAATTCATCTCCTCTTCCACCCCAAAGGAAATCCCTTTGAATTTTTTCAATCCTATTAGCAACAGAGTATGGAATTTGGAACATAGATAAAAAATAAGTGGGAAGGCTCGATAAAGTGCTCTCTATAAGTGTAACTTTTCCCCCCTTAGACAAGTATTGCTTTTTCCATCATGCTAATCTGTTCGCATACCTATCAATTATAGGGTCCCAACTCCCCACCGTTATAGAGGAAACCCCTAAAGGCAAGCCCAAATACGGAATTGGAAAAGAACTCACCATACACCCAAGGACTTTTGCTAAAGATGAAATATCCTAAACATCTCCAACCGGAACAAGAACACTTTTAGCCACATTAACCTTCAGACTAGAGACGGCCTGAAAACAAGCCAAGATGTACCTCAAATATCTAAGCTGAGACACATTAGCATCACAAAAAACCAAGGTGTCATCTGCAAAAAGTAAATGAGAGACCTCCATTTGATGGACAGGATCGCTTCCCACCATAAAGCCCTTAATAAGGTCAAGATCCTCTGCCCTTCGCATAAGTCTGCTTAATCCCTCCATAACAATAAGAAAGAGGAAAGATGACAGGGGATCTCCTTGTCTTAAACCCCGAGAACACCCAAAGAAACCAACAGGAGACCCATTCACAAGAATAGAGAATTTGACAGACGAAAGGCATGTCTCTATCCATTTCCTCCATTTACTTCCAAACCCCATTCTCTGAAGCAAATAAAGCAGGAAATTTCAATTCACATGATTGTACGCTTTCTCAATGTCAAGTTTACACAAGACTCCGGGAACACCACTTCTCAATCTAGAGTCCACACATTCGTCTGCAATAAGAACTGAATCAAGAATTTGCCTTCCTCCAACAAAAGCATTCTGGGAGTCCAATATAATCCCATCCATCACTCCCCTCAACCTAAGAGCAAGGACCTTAGCCATAAGCTTGTAGATACAACCTACTAAGCTGATAGGACGAAAGTCTTTAATATCAGAAATACCTCCCTTCTTAGGGATAAGGGCAATGAAAGTTGCATTTAGCGACTTCTCAAAGGCACCAGTAGAATAAAACTCTTGAAAAGTGCCCATCACATCGTTTTTCACAACTGCCCAACTTTCCATAAGAAGCCGCATAGTGAACCTATCTGGCCCTGGAGCTTTGTCCCCATTACAACTAGATAAAGCCTCTAGAACTTCTTCTTCTGTAAATGGAATCTCAAGCCCTTCCTTATCGATCTCAGAAATGGCCTCAAAATGAAGACCATCAAGTTTAGGTCTCCAAGCAAGCGGTTCGGTATAAAGCTTCTGATAAAAAGAAGCAATCCCATTTCGCACATCTTCCTCCCTCCACATTTCCACACCTTCCACCCAAATACGTCTTATATGATTACTTCTTCTATAAGCGTAAGCGAGTCTGTGAAATTTTTTTGTATTACGATCTCCCTCTTTAAGCCAAAGAGCCCGGGATTTTTGTCCCCTAGATATCTCCTCCATACTCAGCAAGAGCTTCCTGACAATAAGCTCTTCTAGAACGTAAAAACTCCACATCCCCACCTGCCTTTTCTAAGTGATCAATCTCATAAAAATTAGTAAGGACTCTATTCTTCCTCCATTCAAGATTCCCCAAAACGTCTTTATTCCACTTCTTAATATCGTATTTGAGAGCCTTCAACTTTGAAGTTAACATGAAGCTAGATAAGCCTATGACAACTACTCCCTCCCACCAAGACTGAACTTTCCTTTGGAAGTCCTCCGCTCTTAGCCACATATTCTCAAATCAAAACGGAGACCTTTGAGAACATAAACCTCCACAATCTAAAACCAAAGGAACATGATCAGATATGACCCGTGCTAAAACTGCTTGAACGACATCCGAGAATTTCTCTTCCCACTCCCCAGAAATCAAAAAACGATCCAGCCTTGAAAAAGTGACTGGTTCCCTGCCATTTGACCATTTATAGGCTGCGCCTTCTATTGGTAAATCAATGAGAAGATGCTTGTCAATGAAATCAGAAAACTGATCCATTTCAGAAGACTTCCTTCCTCTTGTGGACCTCTCTAATGGGAATCTAACAGAATTGAAATCCCCACCCAAACACCAAGGAAGAGACCACATTTCTTGAGCATGTCAATATCAACAACTGGTCCATATTCCCCAGTGAAAACCCAACTGAAATTGTCCTCTTCCAATTTGAACTTGCAAGACACTGAGAATCTCCCCACCCACACATCCAACCGAGATAACCATCTACTATCCCACATAACTAAGATACCGCCCGAAGTACCTATAGCATTCAAGACCTCCCATTCTACAAGCCTTCCTCCCCATAAACTCCTAACCACCCCATCCGAAATGGATGCCAACTTTGTTTCTTGCAAACAAACAACCTGGCCCCCCACTTTCTCAAAGCAACCTTTACCACCCTCCTTTTATTCGGGTCGTTGAGACCATGAACATTCCAAGAAATAATTCAAAGCTTCACTAAAAACCAAATAAGATGATCTCCCCTCCTCCTTTCGCCAAGCTCTGACTCCTAGTCCTTCCCCTCTCCATCACCACCCCTTTCTTTCCATCATAATTGACTTTAGAGATAAGATTCTTGATCACCTGTGCCCCTTTCCAGGACGATAAGGGCATCGGGTTCACTACCTCTTTAGTCACAGCTACCTCTCTGCCTTCCACTATTGCTTGAAGAATGGAAAGTGTATGGTTACTCTTCCCCTTTGAAGAAATACCTAGCAACTCATTAGCAGCCCCTATGTTTTCAATCATCCAGTCCTTACCCAAGTCAACACTTGTTTCTGAACAACCAAGTCTCTCAATTGCCAAAGGTTCCTCCTCTATCACTTCAAAGAAATCATTATCCATCCAGGGTACAAACTCGTTGGAACAGACTTCTTGGATAGAAACCAAATCTGTGACGGCCCTAGTTTTTCAAGCCAGTGCGTCCTGTGATAAACCGAAGCTTGACCCGATAACGGATCCGAATGCGGAAGCGAAAACAGAAATCAAGTCTTTAGAGATACTATGTATCTCTGAGACGCCAAAGTGACCTTCCATGAGGCCACAAAATTCAACAAGAATGACTCGGAAGGAAAAGATCAGAA